CCTCTGGGATCAATAAAGTATTTTTGAATTGAATTTGAATTGAATATTGTCCTAGATTAACCTTCAGGGTGGATATAGCTCGCTAGCAGCCTCGCACCGATGACCTATCCACGTCATCATTTACCCAGAATGCTTTGCGTGTAAATAAAATGGCCCCGTCCGTGTTAAAATATAATATATTTTTAAAATTTACAAAACTAAGCAGCCTACAGTATTTTTAGTCTTTATTTTACAGTTAAAATAAATGTTTATCAAATAAAGTCTGATGTTACAACTAATTGGGGATCCCTTTAAATTAATAAATTGTTGAATTGCCAACATGTCTTGTTTTGTTAAACTGCATTTTCATCCAGTCCACCAAACACCAAACTAGTCAATAAATAATAAACTATTTGGCATTGGCAGAGAGGATTTGACAATTTTTTCATGTAAGTAACCCACATACTCAGTTTTACTGCTCATCCCACAAATGCACGTTTCTTTTAAATGTGGCACAAGTTTAAAAGGAAAAATAAAACGTTTGGAACATTGCCAAGAAGCATTGTTACAACAAATAAAMCATCCACAAAACACAAATTACTTTACATTTTTGTGATAAGTTCAGCTTTACAACTGATTAAAATTTGGAGACAACCCAATGTGACAGCCCACTGATTTTAGAGAAAAAGCTTTAATTGGGTCAGTTTTACAGATACGTGAAGAGTTGGAGAGTGTTACTGGAGAGGGATTCCTTTTTAAAACATGCACCAAAACAACTTAGTCTCGTCTGACTTTAGGGAATGCATTAATAATGGTTCAGTTTTTGTTWTTAAGCTATTACTTATCTTGGCATATAGTGATGACTAAAGAATGTTTATCAAGGATTTGGATTAAGTAATGTATGTTTGTGTCCAGGCTGTATTTTTGTGGATGAAAATGTGGATTAAGGACAAGCAGTTCACCTCAGCATTTAGTTCTTTCTTGGAAAAAAGGATTTACTGCAGTGTAGACTGATAAACCTGTGCAGCTGAAGTTACAATCGCTACTCCCATCTTTATGCTGGACGTTAATGTTGTCAGGGTATCTATATGTGTAGATCAGAAACATTGATTTCCCCCATCAGGTGTGGATAGAAGCACTGATTTGGTACAAATACATACTGTTTTACCAAGATGGCCCACTGTTGTGTTGTCTCTGATTGTGAGATGCTCCGGTATCTGTCTGATAACATTCCACMCAGGACTTCACCACTTGTGCCACAGTTCTGAGCTTCTTGCAAATCAAAACATTTACATACGCATCYCTGGTCAAATGAGATTCAAATCAGGTTTTCCTTCTGGATGGGTAACTTTTTGGTCAGGAAAAGCAACATAAAAGTTTTGTGAACTTCTTTTTTTCCCTGTAAATGTGGAAAATGCAAAAAAAAATAAATAATGAGAGGACACAGAAAGTCATTTATGAAGGCTTTTTATCAGATGACTGAGTAGCAGTCTAAAGGAGAAAGAACAAAAAATTTGAGTTTAAGGGTTTTATATTGTTATTTTGTTGCTCTATTGTTTACCAACTCCAGCACAGTTCAACTTCTTAATTACATTTCAGAATTTCTGTTTTATTAAGAAAAGTACAACCTTTGTACAAGTACTTTACCTTCAAATTATTTTCAGGTTAATAAACTAAAAAAAAAATCATCAAAGTGTTACTGCCTAGCCAGTTAGGTATTAAATAGTCTTTTGTCAGTTCACTTCCTGTGGTTAAAAAAAAAGCAGTTTGGCATCTTCATAAGATCTGAAAGTGTGCAAGTTTTAATCATTAAATGTATGTCAGCAGGTTATTGAACAGAGTAGCATTGCAAGAACAGTAAGTACCGAATACATTTTCCTTTTCTTTTTTTCAACATAAATTGAATCAATGCAGTTTTGAGACAAAAATTAACAAGAAAGTATCCACCCCAGATGGGACTCGAACCCACAATCCCTGGCTTAGGAGGCCAGTGCCTTATCCATTAGGCCACTGGGGCTATATAACATGTTTCGGGACATATTTTCTACACAATCTATGAAATGGTGCATATATTTCAAGCAATTCTGACAGATTAATGTATGATTTAAACATGCTTTTCCTTTAATTTATCWAAATTAATGTTTTTCGTACTGTTTTTAGGGTTGAAAGGATCCACATGAACGGTTCTTCTATCTCAAAACAGAAGTAAATGGTTGTGTACAACTTGATTAACAGTCCAGTCACACAAAAAGTATAATGTTGTTGTTGGAAAGACATATTTGGGATCTGAAACTAATGTTTTCCTGAGGACATTTGTCCCTGGTATCTAGTGGAACTTCCGCGCATGCGCAGTAGGGACCATGTTTGGCAAAGATTTCACGCATGCGCAGTAGGGACCATGTTTGGCACAAGATTTCACGCATGCGCAGTAGGGACCATGTTTGGCACAAGATTTCACGCATGCGCAGTAGGGACCATGTTTGGCACAAGATTTCGTCAGGGCAGTAAATAAAAAAACTCAATGGAGGTAAATACATTAGTTACATTGTTTAAGTAACAAAACGTTTAATAACTTACATGAGAGCCAGATTCGAGATTCAGTAAATGTTGGGCGTGAGTCATTTTCACCGCGGGTTTTTGTTCCTCATAGGATTTACATGGTGCCTTTAAGCTAGCAGCGCTAGCAACAAACCATAGCTGTTAGGAGAGTACTGGGTTACTCATCAGTGTGCCGTCTTTTATTAAGGACCTCAAAAAATCCCTGAAGATGCCGCTGTTTGGAAATACCTTCAGCCCGAAGAAGATTCCTCCTCGAAAGTCTGCATCTCTGTCCAGCCTGCATACGGTGAGCCTAAAGTCATTTGTTTTGGTAGCTTCAGTAAATATGAAGCTGATAAAATGCATGGGTGTGTAGATCTAAAGGTAAAATATGCTACTTTGTACCTCTCATCAGTGTTGCATATCTAAAAGTATCCCTCCGTACTGGTTCTACATACTTGAATCAACACAATATTTTTGTTTGTAGTTGGATCGTTCAACCAGAGAAATAGAACTTGGTCTTGAGTTTGGACCTCCTACAATGAACATTGGAGGTCAGAGCTGGAAATTTGAAGAAGGACAGTGGATAACAGGTGATTTATTATTATTATTATTATTATTATTATTTTAATAGAAAACATGAGTGTAATTTATTTGAGGATGTTGCTCTTCTCTCTGAATGTGGTCACTGTTTTGCATGTTTTGCAGAATCTGGTGGAAATGTGTCCAGTAGGGAAGTGATGCGGCTCAGGAAAAGAAATGGGCAGCTGGAGGAAGAAAACAACCTCCTGAAACTGAAGATCGAAGTTCTCATGGACATGGTGAGGTCTAAACTGCTGCTATTCTTGTGTGCCTAAAATCTCAGTGGTTATAAAAGGACTTTATGAGGCACTGAAGCWAAGTAGCTTTATTCTCATCTTCAAACATTTTTTCACATCCGTCCAGTTGATGGGTCTGAAAAGCTCAATAAATTGATTACCTCCAATGTTTAACTTTGGTTGGAAGATGTTTACAAATCTGATAAATAACTCCCAGTTCCAAAAAAATAAACATAAAATAAACATAGGATGTTGAGTAATATTAAATAAAAACAGAAGCAAAGGTCTGGATGGGACAAAAAGGGCAGTAAAAATTGCAATAAGAAAAAAAGCTAGAAGCAGTTTGCTTAACAAGTCAGTGGGAGAACTGGGATTAAAAAGAGCATTTTAGAGAAGCTGAATCCCTCAAAAGTAAAATTGGACTGAGGTTCCTCAGTACGTGAACAACTATATCTAAAAAAGAAAACAGTGGAACAATTTCAGAAAAATGCTCTCCAACAGAAAACTAGGACGACTTGGTTTATAATATCGTTCAAATATTTCAAGAATGTGAAGAAATGTCTGAGCTTAAAGGACATGCTCAAAGTCCAAATTGGATGTTTGTGATCTTCAGGTTCTCAGAAGCAACTGCTTTGAAAATGGACCTGATTGGAAATCACTACATGGGCTCAGAAACACGTTATTCTGTTCACAAAGGCAGATTAGAAGCATGTGAACCCCATCCTGTGAACCCCATCCAGAAATGTTGCTCAAAGCCCATTTAAATGACTGAAATGTAAAATTATTTTTGGAAACAACGCCACGTCTCCTGTACTAAAAAAGGAGAGGGACCATCCAGCCTGTTTTCAGCATACAGTTCACCCAGGCTAACTGCCTTTCTGATGGTATAGGGGTGCATTAAAACCACCTGCATGGGCAGCTGACACACCTGGAAAGGTACCATCAATGCAAAAAACATGTATACAGGCTATAGAACTACATCTGTTCCCATCCAGTAAAAAATATTTAATTTTCACATTTGATATATTTACTAAGTTCCACTGTGAATACAATTTATAAGTTTATAAGATTTACAAATCATTTTATTCTGGTTTTGTTTACTGGTATATTTTATGCAACATCTCAGCTTTTTCAGAAATACATTTTTTTGTTTGACATCTAAGTAATATTATATATATAATTTTTTTTTAAGTTGACTGAGGCTACGTTGGAGTTCCACCTGATGGAGAAAGAAGTTGAAGACATAAAGACTCAACATCAAAGAAAAAAATGACAACAGCAAAATGACCCTGACTCTTCCAGCGGCTCCATGATGAAAATATTCTTTTATTTGAATAACCTATTTTTGTATTGATTATTTTTGTAAGCTCACAAGAATTCAGTGAAATTGAATTGAGTGACATTTTGTGTTCATTTTGTTCTGGTTGTGTTAAATTTGTTTATTTCAATCTGAATCAAACGACTTTATGTTCTGTATGCACCGTTTTACAAACTTTTGTTTTTATTATTGCTTTGTGTGTTTTACTTGTTTTTTCGGATTAAAATAAAACTTGTTTGGTCAAATAAGTTGTTTTTTTATCATTCGTCATTTGTCTTTTACCTCCACACAATACATATTGCTGTTTATTTCATATATTGTATGATTATTGTTTTACATTTATGCCTGGCCTTGGAGACTACAGACAAACAAAAAAAGAACATCTTATCATATGTGCACTTACTGTTAGGGTTTACATACAATAATCAGTAGACCATGACTTTAAGCAACAATTAAGTTGAACATATTTTGTAAATATTGCTAGATTATCTACTCTCATATTCAATTAATGCTGTATTTTTTTATTTATGTTTAGATTTTAGAAATGTTTGCTTTTGCCACACAGTACTCTGAGGTTAGTTTTCTTAGAATTTGTAGTTGTTTATGTAATCTAAATTAAAAGTTGATATTAAACTAWTTGTTGCGTTAATTGTGTGTAATCAAAACCTACTTTTTACTAATGTGTTTTGTATGAATCAGTAGTACGTCTCCTGATTGGTGGATTCACCGGAAAACGATATGTGTTGTGATTGGTTGGACAAAAGGTTTCACGCATGCGCATTCAGTCACAAGCAATCGTAAGCGTTTGCCGACAGCGGGAGAGACAAATTAGTTTACAATCCTTTTTTGTTTGCACTTTAAAATTGTCTAACATTTCGAGACGGCCTAGTTGACTTTGTGTGTAGTATCTTTATCTTTACCATAATGCCACGAGGCGGTAAGTAGTTCGATTATAATTACCGTAAAACAGCAGGGCTAGAGGTGGCGAAAGTGTTAGCTTAAGTTTCATGAATTCTCGTTAGCTCGCACATGTTTAGCGGTTAGCATGCTAAGTGGCTAACAGAGTGGCTGCAATGGGATTAAAAGGACAGCAGAAAGTATTGGTCGGTAAAACTTATTTTATTATAAATTTTAAAGATTGGGGGATGATACTTTTGTGTTATTTATGAAGAGCTCGGAAGTATTCGATCGTACCATCACCAGTCTTGATCAAGGTTTTGCTAGCAAARCGAGGCAGTTCTTGCGTTTCACCACAAACTCCTACTAACCATGATTTATCAGTTCAAATACGTTAAATCACTGCACGCCTACTATGAGACTTTCTACACTATTTCCATATATAGAGTAATCATTTTAAATGGTATATAAATGTCTATAGGTTTATAGCCCTAACCTGTAAATAAAACAATTCAGTATTTTTATGATAATATACTGTTTGTGTAMATTTAGTCATCCAGGACAGTGCAATTCCAAATAATCTTAAAATATCAATGAGGTTTGCAGTATTCTCAATTCTATTTTGCTTCAATATTAAAGAAGACAAATTTAAGCTAATTATTAAATGCTTAGTTTTTACATGATTTTTGGTCTTCAATAAATCAAGTAAAGTTGCTGTCTGTGAGACAGCGTATCGTTTTAATACAACTTGGTATTGTTTCTATTAAATATATCAGTTTTAAACCCTTGTGTTTTATTTATTTATTGTTTTTGGCATCCTTTAGAATCGATAAGACCAAATATAGTCAAAGGTTTTCTCTTGCTAGTATTTTCACCGTGGGAGCAAATCCTACATTGGTTCTATTTTTGAATTTGGTGTTCTTTAAACACAGTTAATTGATATTTATTGTTTGTTTTCCATTTTTATTGACACATTCCACTAAACCATTAAGGGGTTTTAGTAGGGGTGGAAATCTTTTACCATCTCACGATTCAATTCTGATTTTTGGGACCTCGACTCGATTCTAAATAATGTTCTTTCTTTTTTTTAAATTCAAAACTGATAATGTGAGCCCATTTGTTATGTTACCAAGTTGCTTCATATTCATTTTTCAAACCTTGCACACAGTGAAGTTCATGTCAAACTTGGACTCATTCAGTAAAAACCAAAATGAGTCCAAATCTTTGCATTCAGTGAAGTATATCTAAATATCTCTTTTTCCTCCAGTTTTGTTGTTTCCTCTTTGTTTTGGTGCATCAGAACTGGCTGCCTAGTTAGTTACAGATTAGAAGCTGACAGCKATTGGATTAGCTTTATTTTTTACTTTTAAAAATCGATTTTGGGATATTTTAAATAGATTCTGAACCTTTGTAAATGAGAATCACGATTCTGATGTGAATCGATTTACCAATAAGTACATTTAATACTAGCTTTCAAAAAGAGGGCACCTCCCCCCCTCTATTTCATCTTTGTTGTCACTCAGACATGTTTCTGAAGTTACAGTAAATTTGTTCTGTTGTTTTTGACTGATGACCCGTTTTAATATGGTAAAAAGATACTGTAAAGACTCCTGCTATGAAAGTGAATCACAGAAAAAATATTTTATCTCAACAATAACTCAAACTTGTGGGTCGTTTTGACCCAAGGACAGCAGGAAGGTTAAGCTTACTGCTGTATAGGATTCACAAGAAATGATGTTATACTGGTAAAAATTAGTCACTTCATCCTTAACGTTTTCTTACTCTTAAGGTTTACATTCTTGAAATCAAAACAACTTAAATCTGAAAATTATAACTGAATCACAGTTCAGTCATCTAAACTGTAGTGTTTTGACACATTTCAAGGCCGCTTCACTCTTGATAAAATGTGACATGAGTGAAGAAAAGAAGCATGAAGTGATTTCTGCTTAATTTAGCGCTACGTTCATTTCAGGTCTTAAAGCTCAATTCCAGTCTGATTTATTTGTGTGATTGTTCACTGGGGTTGGAAAAAATCCTATTGTGTGCTCTTCATCATTAGTAAAACAGTCAACAATTAATATTTGCCACTTCACAATTAGTGCCACGTGATGACATATTTTTGTGTGCAACAAACTGTCACTATCAGACACACTTGTGAGCCCAATAATAAAAGGTGGTGTGGAACAGAGAACACTAATCTTAACTCTACAAACTTGTTTATTCATCTGAAACGACGACATAAACCTGAGTACGAGGAAAGCCTGAAAAAGCCAAGGCCACAACATCAGCTACATGCAAGTGCAGTTGTCATCTCTTAATCTTCGTATTGATCGTTATCTGCTAAATTCCACAATTAATCGTGATAAAMTTTATGGCAATGTTGCCCAACCCTTATCGTTCACGTTGTAATTTAACTGRGACCTCCATCAGACTCCAGTGTGAAGTGTTTACAGTTCTGGGGCGACCTGCATGCAGGGTTGGGCATAATCGTATCGTGTGCATTTAATCGTCAGAAAAACATTAATCGATGACTTTTTGGTGCTTGATGATTAATACGATTAATGCCAGCAGGCAGACTGACTGGAGATTAATCCGGTCAGTCCGCTCGGTCCTCTTTTCCACTTCAAATATGACGAACATTAAAAATAAATTTCTGTAATTTATTTACCTATCAACATAATTTAAAACATGATGTGTAGCCCAAAATATGTAATTTTCACACAATTTGGAACAATTTTTTATAAACAGCAAATCTTTCCCACTAAATTGTTCATGTGACCAGGACATAAGGGGGTCCAGGGACTCCAGGGGATTAATRGTCAAAATTAATCGTTATCGGCTAAATAGCACAATTAATCGTGATTAATTWTTTTGCCAATATTGCCCAACCCTACCTGCATGTGGAGAAGAAAACCTGGTGTTAAATTAGGGTTGTGTAATGGCAAGAATTTYATGATATCTATATGACACTGTCACATTACAGTAAATCACTATATCTTGAGATAGTGTAAGCAAGACATAATTTAGCAATATATTGCCTTTTTTATGTTTTTTCTGTATTTTGTATGTTTAAATTTTCTTAGTTCATCCATGTTTTCAATGGTTAAGTCAAATGTACCATWAAATATTTGATAAAATATTCGTGGCAGCTTTTAGAAATGCAATTTTAATTTATTATATAACAAAATGTGGTCATTTACCACACTAACAACAGCCTATATGTTGTGCTGAAGTTCAGTAAACAGATCAAATGAAGCAGCTACAGTCTGGGAGATTCATACTGGGACAGCTGACTGCAGTTGGYAGAGAGAGCGTTCCATATGAAACACTTCAATTTAGCCTTCAAATTGACAACTGTACTTCAGCTCTGAAGGCAGTGGGTGTCGGTCTAATCTGCTCAGATTTAGCCATCGGTACTTAGCGCTAATGTTTACTCACAATGCTAACGTTTGATCTAGCGTTGTAGAGTGTCAATTCAGGGGATGAAACAAGCACGCCATGGCCCATGTTGACCACACCCTACATGGGTCGTAGGCCACTCGTGTCAGCTGCTTGTCCATGGAAGACGTGTGTTTGCACGACCATGCTCTGCCTTTTTATCATGGTGATACATTTTATATCGCTTCAGTTGTTTATTCATGGTATAACTTCACAAAGTTCACTGTTATTAGGAAAAATGTTACACATAAAAAAAGCATTAATATTTTGGGTTTAGCTCCAGTATCAGTACTTGTAACTGCATTTTATTTAACATCTTATTGCAGCAAAATTTCATCAGCTAAGCTGCTAAACATACATTCAAAAACAAACTCTGCTGTAAAAAGAAAAACTCCACCATCTTTGTTTTTCTTTTTAGTTTGCTTGTAATGAATCCTGGGATATCATCAGCTGTGTATGATACTCAGATGTAGCCTACAGGGTTTTGTCGGCCGCATGAGTAGGCACCTATGGATTGGGACAGCCTACGGCGCGGGGCAGCGACGTAAAAGGCTGACAAATACACCCCGTGTTAGCTGGCATGAAAGTTTACATTTTAAACATTAATTACCATATTGGGAAATGAAATATTGCAATATTTCAGTGTATCAATCTTTTCTTACTTACTTACTTATCTTTCCTTATTTGGTCCAGTTTTTTATTTAATTTTGCCTGTTGATGGCTCCTGGCGCAGCATCGTATTTCTGTAACGGGAGCCTCTTCCTGAAAGTAAAAACAAACTCAAGTGTCGATCCTATCACGTTACTGTGGATACAGTCTGACACCAATGTTGGTTACTACTTTGTGCTGCAGGAAAGAAGGGTCACAAGGGCCGAGGGAAACAGTTCAGCAACCCCGAGGAGATCGACCGGCAGATGAAAGCCCAGAGAGAGCTGGTGAGTGGAAGACCTGTAACAAACACAGTTCTCTTCAGTCCATGTCTAGTTAAATGTGTGATTGTGTGTTTTACCAGGAAGAAAATCCTGGTGCTGAGAAAGAGAGCTCAGAGTCTGGAGATGAGAGCAGCAGCGATGAGGAATCAGAGGTGAGTCACGTCAAGGACGTTTTAGAAACTTTGTGAAACTTTGGTTTAGGGCTGCAACAACAAATCAATAAAATCGATTATTAAAAGCGTTGGCAACAAATTTCATTATCATTTGTTGTGTCGTGCAATTTTATGTTGGCATTAATTTAATTATTAAACTTTAAATTTTTATTTGCTGACAGTGTCTGAGTGAAGACACTTGCCTTAACCAAATACTGCAAATAAATCAAGACATTTATTGAATTATTGTAACAAGCAGCTGAAAGTATTGTTAAAATGATCGTCACTGACACGAGACTGTCCATGATCAAAGACGAGACTTTACTATAATAGTTCACACTTATTTCAGGTTACACTTTACCCTCAAGGTCACATTTTACAAAGTTCATGGAGAGAAAATGAAATTTTCAAGGATATYGCACACATTTGAGTATATTTTTGTGTACATTTTTTCACTGAAGCTATTTGACGAATATTTATTTATTTATGCATTACAATTTAATATRATAGTAACAGAAAACTCAAACAGCAACCTGATTTCTGTGCGATTCGCTATGTCAGTCCAAGTTTTCCATTTTGGAATAAAAGAGGTCAAAATTAAAAAAAATTTCGTGATTCACCGATTATTTGGAAAAATAATTCATCAAATACTATAATCAATTAGTTGCAGCTAGGATTGTGCAATATTGTCAAAAAAWTTTTCAAGATTAATTGGGGTAATTAGCCGATAACGATTAATTTGACGATTAATCCCCTGGACACCATTACGTCCAGGTCACATGACCAATTTACTATTATTATTATAGTTAATAAATAACTAAATACATATATATATGGGGCTGTATAGGGGCTATATATTAATTTGACGATTAATCCCCTGGACACCCTTATGTCCTAGTCACATGACCAATTTACTATTATTATTATAGTTAATTTATATATTTTTTTTAAATAGGGGCAGATATCATAAGATTTTTTTTCTTTCTGCTACCTTTTATTTTATTTGATATGTATTTTTTTTGTATGTGAATTTGTTTGTTTCTAAAGTAAATGAATAAATATTGTCAAAAAATTAGTGGGAAACATTTTCTCTTCTTTAAAATCTGTTCCAAATTGTGTCAAAATTACAGACTCTGGACATAAAATCTTTAACTGTGTTGATAGATAAAAAATTACAGAACTTTTTGTAATGTTCATCATATTTGAAGCAGAAAGGACCACCGAGCGGACTCTGCCTGGTGGCATTACAGTGGTTTGCAAAAGTATTCATACCCCTTGAACTTTTCCATATTTTGTCACATTACAACCACAAACATAAATAT